TAAATTTAAATCTGATTATCAGTTTTGGTAAATTATTGTTATATCTGGCATTATCAATGGTGATTTTCAATCTGATCTGGACATAAATGCATAAATCTTACATTTTATGGTAAACAGTCTCCTGTACGGCCTCCAGCACACCTACACATGGCTATTGTAGGATATCTTTGTCTGTGAAGGTCCTTTCTAATGGGAAACACATGTTAATGGCTCAATATAATGTGGTTTTTCACTCTCTGTATATCAAAAATGTGCTTCATGTGGTTCTACATCTACATTTATTGTATCTATTAAAGTCAAAAATATATAATTTGCCTGATTGAACCTGACTTCATTAGGTTACACCATTTTTAAAGGAATAGTTCACCCCAAAATTAAAAATGATGATGAAATGTATGATGAAATGATGATGAAAATGTACTCATCCTCAGGCGATCCAAGATGTAGATGAGTTTGTTTCTTCATCAGAACAGATTTGAAGAAATGTATCATTATATCTCTTGCTCACCAATGGATCCTCTGCAGTGAATGGGTGCCGTCAGAATGAGAGTCCAAACAGCTGATAAAAACATCACAAATAATCCACACCACTCCAGTCCATCAGTTAACATCTTGTGAAGTGAAAAGCTGCATGTTTGAAACAAATTCATCAAGACATTCTTAACTTCAAACTGTTGCTTCCTCTATACATAATATTTCTTTCTCCAATAAAAAAAGAAGTCGTCTTGTCTGAATCAGGAGAGAAATGTGCACAGATCATGCACTGTTTACAAGCAAAATCAGTCCAAAACAGTTCTAAACAAATATGTCAATGTATTTTTGATGTTAGAGGACAAAAGAGGATGGACTTTTTCACTGGAAGGAGTGTTATTGAGGATTATGGACTTATATATTGGCCAGAAGGGATGGTTTAAAGTTAAAACACCTTAATAATGTATTTGTTCATTACAACACACATCTTTTTGCTTTTCAAGATGATAATAGATGGACTGGAGTGGTGTGGATTACTTGTGGATTATTGTGATGTTTTTATCAGCTGTTTGGACTCTCATTCTGACGGCACCCATTCACTGCACAGGATCCATTGGTGAACCAATAATGCTAAATTCTCCAAATCTGTCCCGATTAATTTTCTTTTTTGGGTGAACTATTTCTTTAAGGGTAAGATCAAGTATTATCAATAACTCTTTAACGTAACAACTATACACACTGTTCACTTTTTACAGTATATTGGTCAGTATATATGTCACGTCACTCACTCACTCACTTACTGAGGCTTTCCAGCAGAGCAAAAATATCAGTGTTTGGCAACTTGAAACATGCTTGGAAAATGCACAATGAAGTCAGAGCTCCATTCAAACATAAATGGAATTTAGGGCAGTCATTTCATGCTAGTCATAAGTTTCAAATTAAATCTTTGTATTGCATGCAGCTGTTCTCTTTTAGCTAGAGTGACAGAGCGAGTTTTCATTGATGGAAAGGCTTACAGTAACAAAACCCAGCCAAGCTTCAGTGTTCGTTCAAAAAAAGGCAGTGACATAAAAGAGACAAACTGTTTAGATTTCTGAAACTGAAAAGAATATGTCCTTCTTCTGTCCTTATAGACAAACACAGATGTTTTGGGATCTGGGTGGATGACTTTGACAACACACATGACCTGCTCTACATATGTTGCCCTCTGATTTGGCCTTTTGCTGTGTGGGCTTGACCCACAATAGCTCTCTTATATCACATGCAGGACACCCAGTGAGAACAGATTGTCGAACCAGGTTTCCAGTATCCATAAAACTAACAGCTTGTGAAAGCCTGACTATTGTATGAACAAAATCTGTGAAGATGTATTGAAAATCGAGCTGGAGACACAAAGTAAAACAGGAACAGAAATTAAACTTAATCACCTTAAACTGCACAAAAAACATCTCGCTCCACTCAGAAAGAGTAATGGTTCATTTAATACTACTTAAGAAACTTGCTGGCCTCTGACATTGTTGTTTGTTACTTCAGGTGTCTTCAGCTGTTCAAAAACATTGTCCAAAGTAAAGGTGAAAAATAGTATTCTATCTTGTATATGCATTTTTATGTGTAGATTAAAACCAAAATTTTAGGAACTGCTTAAAGAGTTGTTAACTTAATTCAGAATTTAACAGAATAGATCAAACTGGCTTTTTTTTTTTTTTGAAGAGAAAGACTGACCCCTGGTGATTACTTTAGGATGTGTCTGCGTGTTTCATTCATCAGATAGCCTGTGTTAGAGCAATTAATAAAAAAATATATACAGGGCTGTACGTTAACTTTTTTTTCACATAGCACTGGTGCTACAGAGGTTGAAAGTTTTGTAGGCTGTGTTAGAGCAATTAATAAAAAAATATATATCCAAAAAAAAATTTAACCTTATGATTGGAAACTAGGTGTTTTCCAAGGTTTTATTTTTTATTGATATGAACATATAAGCATGTTATTTTAAGCAAATATTTCTCACATTTATATTATCAGTGTTCTTGAAATGAATGAATGAATGAATGTTTTTAAGTAGTTATAAAAAAAAAATTATATTCATAGCATAATCTGCTGGTGGGGCTACAAGGATAAAGTGTAACAATGTGAGCTGTGATGGTCTCTCTGAGAGTCTTAAAACTAGACCACTGACGTGTTTTAAACAGGGATAGAGAGCCAGTGCATAAATAGATTCACAACTAGGATGTCAACATAATGTTCAGATAAAGATGAATTATACAAATTTGAATCCACACTTACCCCATGGCTCATTCATGACAATATAATAAGATTCTTCATTCATTCACTTATTGAAAGACCTTAGAGAAAACCTTGAGAACAACTCTGAATGAAGATGTTTTCACATCTGCACAGTCGACCAATGCAACTTAAAAAGCATCATAGTCTGAAACTTACTGTTAAAACATATTATTTATTTATATATATATATATATATAATTTATCTAAAAACTTTCTCCAAGTGTTACCTACTAGATTAAACATTCTACTTTTCATTTTCATAAAAATTAAATGAATTGTATGCTTATGTATTGCTTGTAAAGATAAGTTTATGCATCCACTAGAAGATAGATAGATAGATAGATAGATAGATGGGCGAACTAATTAATTTGAATATGACCTCGTGTGTATGCGCGAGCAAGCACCGCGTAACTCGCTCTCTATTGGTTGTTGCACTGCTGAAGTTTTAAAAGCCAGACAGAGTGGAGCCAACTTTCGTGACGTCACGTGACCGTAGCACAACTTCAGGACAGCGCGTGTATAACATGGCAACCAGCTGTATCCTTCCGCCTTTACATAGACTATAGTTCTAAGTGTATTTGGTGGTTGCTCATTGTGTCAAGTCCGATTGTGTGCTGTACACAAATCAGGCTGTTTGTTTTCCAGATAATATTCACATAAATAGATACCGTATAAAAAAATAAGCCTAGCGCCTAATGTTATGTAAAATGTTAGAAGTACATTTTAATACATTTTTGGCTAAATGTATTAACATAAATCGTTAAAGCAGATTAAATCAACAGCATAGCCTATTTTATTCAGCTGCATATAGCATGGCAAGGTTGGGCATTTTGGATTAATGTTATTATTATTAGTATTATTATTAATAATTATTATTATATTTAGGGCCTATTATTATTATTATTTGTTATCAGATGTAATAATGATTTCTGTCTGTTGGAAACTGTCATCTGTTGTTTTTATGTATACACAAATGTTCATATCGATCTATTTTTTATTTATTTTTTTTCAGTAAAATCACAGTGGCAAAATATCCATAAATCTCAATAAAAGCAACACAGAAACAAACAACTAAATAATAATAATAATAATAATAATTAGCAATAAATTCAGGGCCAGATATAGCAAGTTAGAACGAATGAACACTAATAACACAATAGGGCACTAATATTGTAATAGAATAAATGATATAGAGTTAATTTAATCACTTACAGTTACATTCCCCTTCATATAGGGCCCTCTGATCTCATTAGAACAGGTATTTGACTGTTAGTAGATGCCTTCTAATGTTGTCCATCTTACAAAACCATAATACTCTCATAATACAATACTATACTCCATTTATCACAGCCATTTTTTGATGATCTCAAGTGCATCCGCAGGCACAGAAGAGTAGTAGGTTGTCAAATGTGCGTATGGATATGCACTCATGTGATTCGCCTCCAGTCTGTTTGACGCCAGGACTGGTGAGAGACGAGGGAAAGAGAGGCAGGAAAAAAAAGAAAAAGAAACTCCTTCATGTCGGTGTCTGTAAAACAGAGCAAAGGTCGACAGACGCTACACCACTTCATGAAAGGTATGCAATCTAACGATAACACATCTAGCCGATAAAGACGGTTCAGCGGTCACTTATCAACTTTATTCCAACAGGGATGGTGGCTTTTCCGCAGGGGGGTGTTGAGAAGTGATTGAAAAAGTTTCCTTGCTGTTTTTTCTTTCCTTTTTGTGCGAATGAGGTGAGGGAAACACGTGAACGAAGTATATTTATATTTTATAAAAGGAGTATTTAAGATGTTTAAAACGGATCATAGACCGTTATTTTGAGGTTGTAATGGTTATTTGGGTTTAATTAACGTTAAACCACAAACCTAAACGGCTAACTGGCCATGTAGCAACTCGGCTAGCAGTAAGTTTTCACACAATACAGAAAAGCGGTCACGTACTTTATTCTAACAGGGATGGTGGCTTTTCCGCAGGGGGGTGTTGAGAAGTGATTGAAAAAGTTTCCTTGCTGTTTTTTCTTTCCTTTTTGTGCGAATGAGGTGAGGGAAACACGTGAACGAAGTATATTTATATTTTATAAAAGGAGTATTTAAGATGTTTAAAACGGATCATAGACCGTTATTTTGAGGTTGTAATGGTTATTTGGGTTTAATTAACGTTAAACCACAAACCTAAACGGCTAACTGGCCATGTAGCAACTCGGCTAGCAGTAAGTTTTCACACAATACAGAAAAAAAGAGAGGCAGGAAAAAAAAGAAAAAGAAACTCCTTCATGTCGGTGTCTGTAAAACAGAGCAAAGGTCGACAGACGCTACACCACTTCATGAAAGGTATGCAATCTAACGATAATACATCTAGCCGATAAAGACGGTTCAGCGGTCACTTATCAACTTTATTCCAACAGGGATGGTGGCTTTTCCGCAGGGGGGTGTTGAGAAGTGATTGAAAAAGTTTCCTTGCTGTTTTTTCTTTGCTTTTTGTGCGAATGAGGTGAGGGAAACACGTGAACGAAGTATATTTATATTTTATAAAAGGAGTATTTAAGATGTTTAAAACGGATCATAGACCGTTATTTTGAGGTTGTAATGGTTATTTGGGTTTAATTAACGTTAAACCACAAACCTAAACGGCTAACTGGCCATGTAGCAACTCGGCTAGCAGTAAGTTTTCACACAATACAGAAAAACTAATGTGACAAGAATGTATCCAAAAATATGTCGTTGTAATTTTTGAAAGTTATGAAAACGGGTCGTTTTATAGTAAAAGCGGTTTGAATTTAAACCGAATAACTTACCCATGTTTTGAACTCAATCCCACAAAGTTGCGGCTAACGTAGCTTAGCTTCACTCCTCGTTTATTCAGCTAATAAATATTTATGATTTCACATGAAGTCGCGCGTATTTACATACAAAACCCCACGAGGATGAAATAAACAACGGCGTACTTTAATAATAATGGTGTATAGTTAAAGAAAGTGACTGTTCACATTCTTGTGAGGAAAGATGTTCGTGTCGTGGCGTGTCTTACTGGCTGTGTCTCAAAACCTAGTGTGCTGCCCACTCAGACAGCATTTTTGGGCATTATAGTCTCTAAAAACTGGTGTTCTGCCTTGGCTCGGACTTTCTAAACGTGCCTGTGATGCCCAAAATGTTGTCTAGATGGGCAGCTCACTTGGTTTTGGACAGTCTGAGTCTGTCTAGAGTAATATTCGTTTAAATCCCTTGGAAACACATTCACAGATGTTTGCTTGTCGTTTACCGACCGAATTGTCTATATGAGGGGTAAAGTTTATATTTTAGCATCTGTTTGATAGTAATCATGGAGAATTTGAGCTGATGTGATGAGCTGAAATCGGCCATCTCTGTGTGCAGTCTTTGGAAATATCCATAGTGTCCTTCTCAAATTTTTCTGAGCTGTGATCATCCTTGAAACATTTGGAGAAAGATGTTGTGAAGATGGAACTAGATGGTTTAGGTTTGTTTGGGGATTTGTTTACAAATTGTTTGTGTGGTCTGAGACTTGTTTATTGCTGTTTTTTGTGGAGAGTTGTTGAATTTTTTTTAGACAAAGAGCTTCAAAATCATAATTTTTCCTTGGCCTTGGTGTACAGAGATAAATGTTGCACATTGAATGGCATTTTCCTAAGTATCATAATTGCAGTTCTTTGTAGAAACACATTTGAAAGGCATCGGCTTGTTTTTGACCTTGACCAAGGGGAGGTTTAGATACGGTCAGCTTGTAACATGTTATCGGAGATGGAGTACCTTCAAAGAGCAGCATCACCATGTTACTGGCTTTCATTCATCGCATAATAAGATTCTGGTTTATCAAAGCGTATAGCATTGCTTTATTTCTTTAATGGTGATGCATAAATGATTGTCTTGTCAATACGACTGAACTTACTGTTCTTTTTCAGTAGTCTTTAATTTGAGATTTCAAATTTATCTGTAAGTTGAAACACCATATGCATTATGATTCATATTCATAGCTCACTTTGATGTACAATACGTACACTTTCTTTTAAGCAGAATAGAAATTAGTCTGGATTGGTAAGCATTATAAACAAGATTAAAAATATACATAACAGAAAATATGAGTATGCCACATGATTAAGTTTTTTTTTTTTTCAGTAGCTGCATAACATGATGAAAAAATATCTTATGCTTCACAGTGGATCTAACATTGTAATTAAAAATTGGTTGATGCACACAAAAATGGGTTGATTTCAAGATCTTGATCTTTAACATATTGATGAGATGTTAAAAGATTTTTTTTTTCCAGATAAATACTTTTTTTTTTCCAGATAAACACATTTTTTCATGGGTGGAGCTGTATTCTTTTAATATTTGTTGAAATATGGAAGTAAGTCATATTTTGCTTCTGCACTGGTTGTTTTGAAGTTTCTTCTTTGAATTTTTGCAATAGCAGAATTCCTTTCCATTGAGAGCCTCTGAATATCTGCCAACGTGTAACATCTGTCACATAGATGTTCATGTGAGCGTTTACATCTGTTGTCAATCTTGAGCTATGATCTGATCCTGAATAATATCGATTAAAATATATCGATTAAAATGAATGTTGCAGATGTATACCTTCAGAAACCTGTTTTTCTTTGTAGTATTTCAGGCATGGAGAACAATGGGGTGGTAATTGTTTATGTGCAGCATAAAGAGGGTCTATCCCTATTTGTGTCGATGATGTAAGGCTCCAGGGATGGAGAGACTGGATGGTGTCAAGCAATTAAACAGCCCCCCTCTGAACGACTGCATCTTTGTCTTGGATGGGTGTGACGGCTCTCCTCCTTATTTAGAAAAAGAGGTCTTGTTCTGGGCTTGTAAGAAAGCCATATTTTTCTGATCAAATTCAAACTGATACACTTGTAAGGCCGTGCTTCTGTCTTGCATCTGTCGTGCTCTTAAATGTCACTGAAATGTTAGATGGCTCTTTCAATCTGGCTATTATACCTAATTGTATGCGTAATTTGATTTTAAGGATAATGCATGGGTTGAAGCCCACAAGAGGCATTGCGACTGCACGACAGTCCTTGTAATAAATCAAATTGATCCAGCAAGGAATAAAAGCACCTCTTCCTTGGTCTGGAGCTCTATTAGTGTCAAAATGTGACTCCATTATGATTTAGAAAGCTGATTTCATGTGTAATTTTGCAAATGGCACTGCCATTGAATGTATATCATAATTATAAAGCAGCATCAAGATGCACATCTTCTGATAATCATGTTGCGATTGTGGTCAGCATCTTAACATTATTTTCATTATTTGGGATGAAACCGATGACTGTCAATTTTCATTTTATGGGCACATTAGCCTCACGTCAGACATTTCTTCTTCACTTTTATAGCAAAATGTCTCTCTCCCCATGAAATAAGAGCATAGAAAGAGTAAAAGCTTTAAGTGGGAGGCTTTTGTGACTCCTAGAAAAATCAATATGGGTAATGCTTTCTGTGCTTCTCATTTTGCAAATGGAGCAGCTGAGTGTAGAGGCAGGATGGAGATAGGGAGCAGGGAAGTGTGTGTTTGTGTATTGAGCTTCTATATTGCTGATCTGAGTCCTGTACTTCCTATTGTTAAAGCTTCGCTATCATCGCTCCCTCAGCAATCAAGGCAGAGTGTGCTGGTTACAAGCTGATAACTTGTTTCTGCTGATAAGCAAGGCGTTTTGGTGTGTGCCGACTCATTGAACATAATCGCAGGAAGATTTCAGGAATTCAATCTCTGGCTTGATTTTTACCATTCACAGTGTTAGTCATTGGTCAGAATAGAACAGTTTAAAGTAATGATGAGTTTCAATTCAAGTTATGCTCTATTGACAGCATTGGTGGCGTAGTGTTGAGTAGCACATAAAATACTTGTTTTTTGAAACATACAGAACATATTGTTTCGATGCTTTCTTATTTTGTCAATATTACAGCTTCTATCATAGTCATGTAACTTTGGCATGGTATGTGTGAGGATCCAAGAACAGGACTTTTTACATACAAAATCGGAAAACAGGAATTACGTCAGTGACAAACTGTATGAAGTTGACACCCGCCCCCAGTGAAATGCAGGTACTTTTTCCACAGTAAATAGTTATTTTGTTTTTGGAGCAGTGACCGTGACAGGTGACTTCTCCAGTCTTAAAGACAATTGACACATACTGTTTTTTTCATAGCTCACGTAATACGCATTTTAAAGAAAAATTACTGAATTAATTAATGCTTTTTGCATTTTAAACAGTTCAAGTGCATATCTCCATATACTTATTAGTGCCTGTTTAGTATTACTGCTATTTTTGAAGGACTAGTAGATTTTTCCAACCGAAGCCGTCAACAGAGCTAAACTTACACCACAATCAAAATGAATTATTTTTTATAATTTTTTTAATTTTTTTACTTTTATTTAGCAAAGATGCATTAAATGGATCAAGTGTCACATTTCAAATAAATGCTGTTCTTTTGAATCTTTCATCAAAGAAACCTGAAAAAATGATTAATTTCCGCAAAAATATTAGGCAGCACAACTATTTTCAGCATTAATAATTATAAGAAAAGCTGCAAATTAGAAGGATTTCTGAAGGATGGAGTAATGATGCTGAAAATTCAGCTTTGTGCCACATGAATAAATTACTTTTTAAAGTATATTAAAATAGGAAAGTTATTTTAAATTGCAAATAATATTTCATATTACTGATTTCATTGTATTTTTTATCAAATAAATGCAGCCTTCGTGAGCATAAGAAACTCCTTAAAAAAGGGGGCAGGATATCTTAAAGGGGTCATATGATGCGATTTCAATTTTTCCTTTCTTGAATAGGCGGTAGCGTTTTATGCGCACTTCCTTTGGACAGTGTTTTTATGTATTTGGTTTTTTTTTTTTAAGATGTCTAAAATGGTCTTTGTGTGCATTGATATACTGGTTTAAATGATTGGTCACTTGTTACAAAACTTGCACCGATACCACTTTTTCCAGTACTCGCCCGATACCGATACTTTTATTTAAGGGGAAGGGATGTGGCTACAGGAAGTGCCTCGCAGAGGTCTTATATCCTTTCTGTCCTGGTTACATTTGCAGCTTTTTCAGCAGCTGTGCTGTGCTCTGCTCATCTCGCTCTGGGAGCTCCCTGGGTGGGGCAGCGGGAGGCTGTTGCTTACAGATCCAACACAATGAGTCTGTTGTAGTTCACCATAACACATGGCAGATGGGTACATCCTAACAGTTATCTGCAAGACCTCAGATGTGTGCGTAAGTGTGTGTGGTTTTTATAACCGAATAGGCGGTAGCGTTTTATGCGCACTTCCTTTGGACAGTGTTTTTATGTATTTGGTTTTTTTTTTTTTAAGATGTCTAAAATGGTCATTGTGTGCATTGATATACTGGTTTAAATGATTGGTCACTTGTTACAAAACTTGCACCGATACCACTTTTTCCAGTACTCGCCCGATACCGATACTTTTATTTTTGGTACTTGCCGATACCGAGTGGTATCGGTGTTTGGTATCGGGGCATTTTAACGAGTACGAGTACAGGAGCTCAGTATCGGGACCGATATCGGTATCGGTGCATCCCTACTAATTATACTATTCAAAGACTCAGTAGGAATACAATTTTAGCCTGTTTTTCAGCACTGTGAAGAGCTGAATAGCTGTAGCGTAACTGTTTGTCACCCATAAGGGCTATGGACTTTTTTTTTTTTCTGTCCACACCAATTTCAAGTTAAAATTTGTGTGAATGCATGAGGAATAGTATATATTTTACATTAGTGCTTCCCAGCCTTTTTGACTCAAATGCTTCCCATTATCCACAACCGTATTCAAAGGCCCTGTCGTATAGGTTAATTGGTTTCCGCATCTGCTGTAATGTCAGTTTTGTTCTCAAAAGGTTTTTTTTTTTTTATGTGCGGAATCTGGGATTGTTCATAGATTAAAATAAGTAAATAAAGTAATTATAATTAAAATTGAAATTCAATTTCAGATTTCCAAACGTTTTAAGAATGGTGAAGTGAATTTACATAACTTTTCCAGTTGTTTGTTTTATTTTATAGCGATAAGTATTAAAAAATAAATAAAAAATGAAGTATGTGTATTCAGTATAAAAATGCCTATGAGGTTTTAAGATATTATTAATTTACATTAATTTTTCAGGTCTAGAAACTAAACTTTTGGGGTGAATTAAAATAAGAAATATCTTGGTTTTTCAATCGTATTATCTTATTTTAAAGCTTCTTTTGTCTTATTTTAACATCTTGAGGCTCCCTTTGGAAATATGGCCATTACCTTCTGGTGGGGAAACACTGTCTTACTGGAATATACTGGTACAATTTTTCATCTTTTTCCACTTAATTAATTTTAAGTCTTACATGTAGTTCAAATATTCCATGTATCTTGTCAGATGATAATGTGACCCTGGCCCACAAAACCAGTCATAAGTAGCACGGGTATATTTGTAGCAATAGCCAACAATTCATCGTATGGGTCAAATTTGTCTTTTTTTCCTTTTATGCCAAAGATCCTTAGGATATTAAGTAAAGATCATGTTCAATGAAGATATTTTGTAAATTTTACTATTGTAACTATCAAAACCTAATTTTTGATTAGTAGTATGCATTGCTAAGAACTTCATTTGGACAACTTTAAAGGCGATTTTCTCAATATTTAAATTTTTTTTTTTTTTTTTGGCACCCTCAGATTCCAGATTTTCAAATAGTTGTATCTCGGCCAAATATTGTCCTATCCTAACAAAAACCATACATCAATGCTTATTTATTCAGCTTTCAGATTATGTATAAATCTCAATTTAAAAAAATTATGACTGGTTTTGTGGTCCAGGGTCACATATAAGGTCATGAACATTACATGCAAAAAAAGTAAAATAATTAACAAAAAGTATATAGTAGGGATGCACCGATACCACTTTTTCCAGTACTCGCCCGATACCGATACTTTTATTTTTGGTACTTGCCGATACCGAGTACCGATACCAATATTTTTATTGCATTTGTAAGTTTTTTAAATATTGGGTACAGAAACCAAAAGGGTATGTATAATGTTAGTTGGTTAACTTCATTTATCAAATAGATACAGTCAAACCAAAATATATTCAGACACCTTCAACATTTCTCACATTATCACAGTTTACTCGCTATAGTCAACCAAAACTGTTAGTATGACAGTATTTACACAACTATCAATACTTAGTCAGGCAGCCCTTAGCCTTATTAGCCTTAACAGAGCTACCTCAGAGCTATTGATTCGAGACTTTATGATTTTTATGAAAAATCCATTTTCATTTTTAAATTTCTCTGGGCTAACTAATTAAAATCAGATAGGTGAGATAACAGACATCTAAAGAACAGCTGAGTCGTTTAGTTATTTTTAGGGATGCACCGATACCACTTTTTCCAGTACTCGCCCGATACCGATACTTTTATTTTTGGTACTTGCCGATACCGATGCCGATACCGGTATTTTTATTGCATTTGTACATTTTTTAAATATTGGGTACAGAAACCAAAAGGGTATGTATAATGTTAGTTGGTTAACTTCATTTATCAAATAGATACAGTCAAACCAAAATTTATTCAGACACCTTCAACATTTCTCACATTATCACAGTTTATTCGTTATAGTTTAGAAAATGGTAATAAAACATGACAAGAACTCAGAGTTAAACTGTGTCAGAACAAATTCATCTTGATAATGCTAGATAATTTTGATAGAAAGGTATGTAATAGATTACAATCAACCAAAATAATTCAGACAGCTGTTAGTATGACAGTATTTACACAACTATGAATACTTTGTCGGGCAACCCTTAGCCTCAATGACAGCCTGTAGTCTCCTGGGCATGCTGTCACCCAGGTTCATGAAAACCTCAACTTCAGTTTTTTTCCCAGACTCGGTCTGAATAATTTTTGGACCCAAATTTGTATCAATTTTACTGGTAGTCCACTGTATGAAGAATTTTTGGGTATGATTTGTCACAGTTTACTTTATTTTGCTATCCTCACTTACATAAATGAACTATAGTGTCCTGCACCCACTAGTAAAAAAATATCAAAAATTATATCTGGTCTCTGAATAATTTTTGGTTTGACTGTATATCTTTCTGTTATTTTCACACTTAATTATGCCCATTAAAATGTATTTTACAAGTTTTTGTTACTTTCACTGTTCATTTTTTTGCTCTATGGTACATCATCTTTAATTTAATAGCATTAGAGCTGCTCCATTGCAGCGAATTTGTACTGTAATCACGCGCTTTGCTGTAATAATGCAGGGAACCACTCGTTATAAATCTCCTAACTGATATTTTCAGAAATAGAAGTCGCGTTTTTTCATCTGAAACGTGCTGCGATTTATATTCCAAAGCCACTCATATAATGCAGAAACACTCAAGCAAGCAAAACACGCGCAGCGTGTGCAGGTATTTGTACTGGTGCAGAATGAGAGGACAGTAGTACAGCCTAGCGCATTTCACACAAGCTGCTAGATTCACTTTCGGTAAGTTTGAAAATAAATTATGTTTATAGTGAATGCCCCTATGAATGGTTTTATTTTTACGATTTAGTTTTAATCCAAATGATGCGTGTGCTAAGTGAGTGAACATCAAAGATCACACAACAGAAGTGTGCGCGCTCTCTCTCTCTCTCTCTTTCTACCTCTTTCTACCGTTAAGTAACTTGTGCATTGTTTTACTTGTTTTTTACACATCCGACCGAACTACAAACTTTCCAGTGATGTCTGTGAGAAAGGTATATTCACTCGACAAGCTCACGCATCTGCGCCGCCGCGCGCTCAATCCACTCAGCGTGCTTTGTTTATCAGGTGGCGCACATCAGCTATACAGGCGTTAATACTGAATGTTTAACGTTATATTCGTTGCATACATATACTTCGTAGTAGACATCCTTAACTCCATTCTGCTGTCTGTTGTTCTGTTGTTGGTGTTTCTTTGTCTGAATATGGCGCTTATCACATGCTGTGTGGTATCGGCGTTTGGTATCAGGGCATTTTAACAAGTACGAGTACAGGAGCTCAGTATCGGGCATCCCTAGTATATAGTATAGGAGATAGACAGTCCATGTGATCTTTGTCATCATTATGAATCGTATACATGCATTTTATTTACAAACTAATGTCAGTTTCTCTTTTTTTGTTGCAGGTGCCCCTTCTCGAAGTGTCAGCCTCTGACCGCAGCCAGTATCTGGCATGGATTAGTCTCTAATATCTAATAGTCGTCTCATCGTTGTTTTCAGCCTTAATTTCTCAATTGCCCTTTACACTAATTCTCGGAGTGGTTGTGACCCAGTTACACCCCCTTCCCGCTTCACTGCAGGCCTTCCTGAGCCCTGAGCACCAGCAGCTGCGTCCTGCCTCGACTTCCTGTCCTTGGTCCTGCAAGGCTAAGCTCGACCACTCCCCTACCCCCCCACATACACAAACACACACATAATCATCTTCCTGGCACACTGCGGGCCGAGAGCGCTTCAGATCCCGCTTCCTGGTGCAGCCCAGCACTATGACCTCCATGTCCAGTCTGTTCTCCTTCACCAGCCCGGCAGTGAAGCGGTTGCTGGGCTGGAAGCAGGGCGACGAGGAGGAAAAATGGGCGGAAAAGGCCGTGGATGCCCTGGTGAAGAAGCTGAAGAAGAAAAAGGGCGCCATGGAGGACTTGGAGAAGGCCCTCAGCAGCCCCGGACAGCCCAGCAAATGTGTGACCATCCCCCGGTCGCTGGATGGGAGGCTGCAGGTGTCCCACAGGAAAGGCCTGCCTCACGTCATCTACTGCCGCGTGTGGCGCTGGCCTGACCTGCAGTCCCATCACGAGCTCAAACCCCTCGAGGTGTGCGAGTATCCGTTCGGTTCCAAACAGAAAGAAGTGTGTATCAACCCATATCACTACAAACGAGTTGAAAGTCCTGGTAAGTCAAGACTGATGTGTTTATATTACTTCTCATGACAGATGTTTTACAACACAAATGTTTTTCATATTAAGAATTTTCTTGGCACATTTATGGAAAAGTGATAAAAGTACACTACAGGGTAATTATAGTTAGCTAAAACCATAAAAGCATTTTTGTTACTTGAAATTTTAATAAACGTGACCAGGAATAAAATAAAAATATTTAAAAAATTATAATAATAATTTAAAAAAAAACTTACATTTATTTTATTTCAGCTAGTTGCCAAAGCAACATTTCTCATTTTATTTACTTTCATTTTCATTTGATCATTTATTTACTTGATGTACTAAAATTACTGAAATAATTAAAACTAAAACTGAAATAAAAAATAATAATAATATAGACATATTTAAAAAATAAATAAATAATAATAATAATAATAAAGAAATAAAAAATGTCCAAAAAAACACCATAAACAAATTACTAAAATGAAAATGTAAAATACAAAAATAAAATCTAAATATTGAAAAAAAAACTGTAACAGTATTTCAGTAATACTACTGTTTGAAATTTGGGGTTGGTAATTTTTTTTAAATCTTATGTTCACTAAAGCTGCATTTATTTGATCAAAAATACAGTAAAAACAGTAATATTGTGAAATGTTACTACTATTTAAAATGTTTTATAATATATTTTAAAATATAATTTATTCTTGACTATAACAGTATTAATTTCTTTCAAAAAATCTCCAAATCCCCAAACTTTCGAATGTGTAGTGTTTTTTCAACCAGTATATCACCAGTCTTAGCAGTTTAATATTTTTTGTTGAACCATGTTAAAACTCATTTGATCAATCACACGTCATTAAATACTTATCAGCTGATTTCATCTCTCTGCCAAGGCAGTGTTCTTCCGATAAGCTGTCGTTGATGGCCAGCAAACAAAAAACAGACAAAATAACAGTGGATTGGTCAACATATATGTCCCCTGCGAGGATATGTGGCCTATTATTTCCTCTGCATATCCAGCAGTATAGACCGTGTTGACTATCTGATATCCTTTGCCCCCAGAGGCCTTCTGATCTCCGTAACCTCTGTTGCCCTCTGCTTAGATTGAGATGTGCACTGTATTGAGCTTTTCAAGGGCAGATATCACATGTCACTCAGGAGAGAAAACACATTTCTGTTGAAGCCAGAAAACTGATCTGTTGTGCCTTAGCTATTACCTTGGAGCCAGAGTCGGCCAATCAGCACACAGATGTCAAGGATGCAGGGCTCTTTTTTTTTTTTCTGCCATAAATATTTAAATCATTGAATGATGTTTAAAATACTGTTATCTTTTCTCAGTGCTTCCTCCGGTGTTGGTGCCACGACACAGCGAGTTCAACCCTCAGCACAGTCTGCTGGTGCAGTTCCGCAACCTGAGTCACAATGAGCCTCACATGCCTCTCAACGCCACCTTCCCAGAGTCCTTCCAGCAGCACAGCGGAGGAAGCTCCTTCCCCATCTCTCCAAACTCACCCTACCCTCCGTCCCCCGCCAGCAGCGGCACCTACCCCAACTCTCCTGCAAGCTCTGGGCCATCCAGCCCCTTCCAGCTGCGAGGTACACACAACACCTCTCGTTAGAGCTGCACGATGGATTGTTAAAAGATCGCAACCTCAAACACCCATGCCATCCCATTTTTAAATGATAACGATTCGCCCACGTCTATTAAACCTTTGAAGACATCATACCGGAAAATTCAAATCTGCGTTCGCGCTGCCGCTGACACAGAGAGAGAGCATGTTTAGGTAAGAAACAGCTTCACAAACAATCTTTTCAACTACACAGTATTATTTTTGTCTTACAGTCATTCATATTATCACAGAAATACTGGGATGAAAGTTTATAGTTCAGATATAAACTTTGATGTCTATGATAGCGATCAAAATAGAGCAAATGCCCTTTTGAACGTAACTGGCGCTTCAAATAACGTTTGTGTCGATTACATTGATTCGCAAAAAGTTACTTAATGTATTTGTCATTGAATCATTCATTCGAGAGGTTCATTCAAAAACGCTGATTCATCCAGTAATGAAACAAGTGAAGTATTTATGAGTCAGTCATTGAATCATTCATTCAAACCACTTAATTTTTTTCATAATTTTAATATCAAAAATTGGTGTATTAAATATTATATTGTAAATGCATTTATTTTAAATTGTTTAATAATTCATTCAAATTAATTAAACATTTTTAAATAGACTGCAGCAATAACATTTTGTTATACATTATTTAGTTTAATTCAGAATCGTGGGAGAATCGTGATCTCTATTTGAGACAAAACAAATCGTGATTCTCAATTTATCCAGAATCGTGCAGCTCTACCACTCATGATATTGATGGATCTTTTGGGATGTTTTTGCCAGTGGCAAACTGATGTGTTGATTTTCTTTGCTGCTGCGATTGCAAACGGATGTGTGACGCTGAATGATAAACCTGTGATATGATGGTGAGTTGTGCAGTGTCGATTGCTGTCAGTAAACAATGGAAATGCCAGCTAAGCAGCACACCAAAGCCCGGTGACTTCAGTCCTGCTGCTGGGTGCCCATCACTTGGCACAAGCCCGCGCTCCCTCTGTTCTGCATCGAGTGATTTGCTGATGCCTACATCCGTAGACTGGGTGCACTCAGGCAGAAGGACAGCAAATGTTTTATAGCGCTGTGGGTTAGAACTGAAGCTGGTTTTATTCATAGAAATTGCTTGATTCGTCACAGCTTCAGATCTGCCTCGGTGATTAAAGTGATGGAAGCACTTGAAGCTTTGACATTTACATTGTGAATGAATAACTGTTTTACAATATGAGCTGCTTTTTTGTCTCGGTTAATCATTAGTGCAGTCCCAACAGCATCAACAATTCAATATTTAAACACTACCATGAAAAAGTTTGGCATCAAAAGAAATGTATACTTTTATTCAGCAAGGATGACTTAAATTAATCAAACATGACAGTAAAGATGTTTATAATGTTACAAAAGATTTCTATTTCCTTTTTTAGTCATCAAAAATCATTTTAAGTTGTAATAATATTATACAATATTACTGTTACAAAATATGACTTTTTGATCAAATAACTGCAGCCTTGGTAATCATAAGAGACTTTTTCATCACATGAAATCACAACAAAACATGAAATCTTACCAACCCCAAACTTTCAGTGATGATAATGATTCATTCAGATGGATCCTTTTTTCTGCAGTTAAATTCCAAAGGAAATACAGCATAATTTAGTTTCTTATATGTTCAATAAAAAAAATAACTCGTCTGATATGACTGATCTACCAGACGAGCAATCTGACAACGCTCTTCTCTTTTGGCTTCATTGAATTTGTCTGGAAATGTAACTCATTGAGCCTTTTTAAAATACTTCTTGCATTAGATAATGTTAGCCATAAACCGTTTCTGGAAGAGATTGCATTCAATATATTTTGCTGTTCTGTTTGCTTTTTAGTGGTAAAACAGATACTTCTAAACAATATATGTGTCCAAATACATATTTAAACTAGCCCAGATGATACTGTCAACAACAAAAAAAGCCTGCTTTAAATAGCTGTTGTTTCCACATCATGAATATCTGTATTATTGTACAGAGGTGGGTGTTTGATGTAAGGGATTTGCGAAATCTGACACTAAAAGGTTTCCATAAGATGCGAAGCGGCTTCCTGTAAAGAATCATCAGAATTCAGGCTCCAGGGGATTGCAGTGGAAGCCCATTTGTTTGCAGCAGACCTCATCGTCTGACTGCTATCTCTCTGTGGTGTCTCTTTACCAGCTGATACCCCTCCTCCTGCCTACATGCCTCCAGATGAACAGATGGGAAAGGACGGGTCTCAGTCCATGGAGACTGGCAGCAGCATTGTTCCTCAGAACATGCCCAGAGGGGGTAAGAAACTATTAACGTCCTATTCAGAAGTGATCCAGGTGTGATGTCAAAGAACATATAAAAAAAAAAAAAAAAAACTCCCAAAAATCTGAGTATTGTCATGTAGCTTGTTCATTACAGAAGTATGCGTGTATGTCTGTCTATGGCATGTTTCATAGTGGAAATATTGGCCTATATTGCCAATGGCCTTGCAGAAACAGACGTTTAAATACAGCCATAAAAGTACAAATATTTTGGCCATTCTTGCAAAGAGCCACCCAGTTAGACAGGGAATAAAATATAAGAAGTTAAAATTCACAACAGTCCAAAATCCAATTGCGATTTTTATTTTTAAATACAGTAATTAACACACAGTTAAAAATTGATGTCTATTTAATGATATACTTGTTTCCACTCCAATTTTGTTTTTGAAGTTTAAACATTCAAATGGTGGCTGTCATAACTTGTTTTCATCATGGATTTATTCAAACATGCATTAAGACAAAAATCTATCGTAATATTCTGCATATCTGTAGCAAAATTCTCCTCTCTAGAGTTAAATAGCATTGCATTATATTGTTTGCAAATGGTTTTCTTAACATTTTTTCACAGCATATTAAAGTGTGTTTTGAATTTTGTGACTTAAATTGACAAAACAATTTGAAAGCTTGATTATAAAAGTAACACAATGCAAAGCTCATTGCAACTAGTGCATGGCAGGCATGCTACAAATGATGTTTAGTGAAGTTTTGTTCATATATGTCAAAGAACATATAAAAAAAAAAAAAAAAACTCCCTCAAATCTGAGTATTGTCATGTAGCTTGTTCATTACAGAAGTATGCGTGTATGTCTGTCTATGGCATGTTTCATAGTGGAAATATTGGCCTATATTGCCAATGGCCTTGCAGAAACAGACGTTTAAATACAGCCATAAAAGTACAAATATTTTGGCCATTCTTGCAAAGAGCCACCCAGTTAGACAGGGAATAAAATATAAGAAGTTAAAATTCACAACAGTCCAAAATCCAATTGCGATTTTTATTTTTAAATACAGTAATTAACACACAGTTAAAAATTGATGTCTATTTAATGATATACTTGTTTCCACTCCAATTTTGTTTTTGAAGTTTAAACATTCAAATGGTGGCTGTCATAACTTGTTTTCATCATGGATTTATTCAAACATGCATTAAGACAAAAATCTATCGTAATATTCTGCATATCTGTAGCAAAATTCTCCTCTCTAGAGTTAAATAGCATTGCATTATATTGTTTGCAAATGGTTTTCTTAACATTTTTTCACAGCATATTAAAGTGTGTTTTGAATTTTGTGACTTAAATTGACAAAACAATTTGAAAGCTTGATTATAAAAGTAACACAATGCAAAGCTCATTGCAACTAGTGCATGGCAGGCATGCTACAAATGATGTTTAGTGAAGTTTTGTTCATATATTAACAGAAAACAGCACTGACTAAAATATCGATCTTAAGATTTAAGAATTGATATTGGTTCATCAAAATGAGAATCAGTTTAAGTCAAATCAGTAATGTCAAACCAGGCCTAGATTATTACTGTAGTGAAATGACCAACAACAGTTCACTCTTTGTACAAATCAAATTAAATGACTAGTTGTTCCTCAGACGCTTTCATTGTAGCAACCTGGTACTTTGGAAACACAAGTTTGTTGTCCGGCAGACCAAAATAAAACATGTGCATGGCAATTGTGTAAAGCCAGACAGTCCGATTAGAGGTCACAACACTGAGAAAGCTCTTGACATTTTTTTTTGTTTTAAAGCAAAGTCACACTAACACGCTCTGTAGTTAAAAACATTGTCATCATGACTGAGCCTGAATTTCTAACACCGTTTGCCTGTTGTAATCTTTAAATCCTTTTGGCCCGGTATCCCCCTCTAATCTCTCCAGAATGTTTATCTAGCTGATGTGGTGAAGTATCTGAGCAAGTTGAAACAATAGATGGCTTCAGCTCAAGGTCTTGTTTTATTTTCCTCTTTCAGATGTGCAGCCAGTGGAGTACGAGGAGCCCAGTCACTGGTGCTCTATCGTGTACTATGAGCTGAATAATCGTGTAGGAGAGGCTTACCACGCTTCCTCCACCAGCGTGCTGGTTGATGGATTCACTGACCCATCCAACAACAAGAACCGCTTCTGCCTGGGCCTGCTCTCCAACGTCAATCGCAACTCCACTATTGAAAACACTCGTCGCCATATTGGCAAAGGTATGCATGCGGTTATTAATCTGCTTTGTCACTCAGTCCTGGAAACCCAGTGGGACATGACTTTAACCTTCTGCAAAGCAGTGATGTTATCATTAACTAAAGGTATTAAAAACATTTTTTGTTGATTTAAATATAGCTAAATATTAGGTGAAAAACTAAACGAACATTAGAAATGTTGCCTTGTCAAGTAACTGAAGTTCTAGAATTACTAATTGAACTTATTTAAACTTAAAAAATATATTCAAACATTTAAAAATATAAAAAATGAACTAATAAAATGACCAAAGCACATAAAATTACAAAAACGTAAACAAAAATTTAAGTGAAAACTAAAAATATAAAAATAAAATTAATTCAGAATATGAAGAAAAACTATAATAGTGAATAAATAATACTAAAATAACACAGTGGCAAAGGTTTGTCAGCACTAGGACCAATAATGACAACCTTTACCCTGTTTAAGGCCCATTCACACCAAAAAAAGATAACTATACTGATAACTATGTGGCATGCACACCAACTGACAATAATGCTCTAATGGTTTATTATAAGCATGTGCTGTTATTTATTTTTTTGCTTTTTTGTGTGTGTTTTTGCCAATTTAAATGCTTGTGATCTTTAAATTCGGGTGGATTCTGATTGTTTCTGATTGTTTTTAGCGTTCAGCTGGATAAAAATTGTTTTGAAAGTGATTTGAATGATATTGTTCCTCTGGTTATAGCTGTGATGTAGACTTCCCTGTTCTCATAAAATTAGATTGATTATTACATTTTATAATAAACATTATAGTTTTTGTCCTTGGTTTGCATGGGCCTTTAAAAGCAAGACTATCTTTTTTTTCCATCAGTTTTTAGATGATTCATGTTGGCATGATCTGGTTTAGTAACAAAGACAATTGTGTTAATATTACAATGATTAACAATTAATCATCTCCACACCTAAAAAGTTAAATGTTCTCAAAGTGAACATGTTTGATTACAATGGTGAATCATTGTTGGACTGTGTTATGATTCACTATTGAAATAAATCACAGGAAGACCATCTTTTTTTAATCGATTTTTATAAAGCCAAATGTTAATTATTTTGCGTTTTACTCTATAATAGAATATTTCAGAAGTACATTTACGGCGATCTCTTCTCCCTCAGGTGTCCACCTGTATTATGTTGGAGGAGAAGTGTATGCAGAGTGTCTGAGTGACACCAGCATTTTCGTCCAGAGTCGAAACTGCAACTACCATCATGGCTTCCACCCGACAACTGTCTGCAAAATCCCCAGCGGCTGCAGCCTTAAGATCTTCAACAACCAAGAATTCGCTCAGCTGCTCGCTCAGTCTGTCAACCACGGATTCGAGGCCGTCTACGAGCTCACCAAAACATTTGTGCTCATTTGATGTTTTATGATGACAAATGAAAGCTGTTGCTCTACATGTGAGCCATATGGACTGAGACTTTTAACATTTAAATCCACAGCTGTTGGCTAGCACATTGTTTTTGCATGTGTCTGTTTTCTCCAACATGGAAAACACAAAAGTGCATAGTGTGGTAGATTTCATTAGTGTTGCATGATTGTACTTGTTTTATACAAACAGATTCTGAAAGTGGAATCAGTGCTCATGGAGACTAAACTGGACATTGATGTCTGTTATTTGGTTCCCTCTACTGGACAAGACATGGGAGTATTTTTAGTACAAGTTCCTGTGAAAATCTGTAACCCAATAGTTTTGTACTTTCCTAGACAGAATTACCCTTCTTGAACCTCGTCTCGTATTCCTGTCATTCTTGTATGTTTTTGTTCACATCAAAACGATATGCTTTCTAGGATATAAAACAGAGGAGATGAGATGTTTAGACATCAACAGTGAATTTATACCACATTAAAGCCATTCTGTTTAGAATAGAATAGATTTTGCTTGTCAGATTTGTGACCCTGCTGTATCTCTTTCTCTGTTCGCATGAGAACGATCAGACCAAAATGTTTTCTGAATACAGAAGTGAGAAGTGTAGACATCAGTGTGAGTGTTAAGAGTGTTACCAGACCAGTTTATCCATAATAATAACTAACCATTAAAAAAGCAATAACGTCCGGATGGACTGGATTGTTTTATTAATGTATTTACTTGTTCAAACAGAAAAGTAAAACACAAAATGAAAAAAAAATCAGTTATATAACATCTATATTTTGTGTTGATCTGCTTCTCCCATTTGCCCTTTTACATGGACTATCAACTCTGTAGACTAATACAATCAGGTACAACAATAATTTTTCGAATATTTATTACAAATACTGATCAATTTAACATTCACTTCTATGGTATTAGATGATGACTGATTTCCTGTCACCAGCTGAATTGCAGTGGTCAAGCTATTTAAAATATAGGCTAGTGAATTAAGTTACAAATTCGATCATTATACACAAAGTTTAAGCCTAAGCCAGTTGTAGTACTGACAGAATTGCGTAAAACATGGCTGAAGACGCAAAAAGCAGCGGAACAGACGAACCGATTATATTGAGTGAGTCATTAACGCTGGAACCGCTCTGATTGATCCAAACTCAAACTTGATCACTAGCAAAAACCCAGATCAAAAGAGTCTTTCATTTTCGAATTTCGACATCGCTTGTAATGATTTTAAAAAGCATGATGGGTGAAACGGAGCTTTTCAAAACTCCGAAGCAGTTAAACCATTGCGTCGCAAAATGATTCACTGTTTCGAAGCGCTCGAATCGGATCGCGTGTCTAGAATCATTTGATTCAGATCGGGACTTCGGAACGTATCGTGAATGATTCATATCGGGACTTCGGAGTGAGTCATTTGATTTAGATCAAAACTTCAGAGCGGGTTTGCGAATCATTTCGTGATACGTGCTCTGAGTACCAATCAGAAATGATGGTTCAACTTCGGAGCACGTTCCGCGAATTGTTTAGATTGGGACTTCGGAATGCATATCACGAATTATTTGATTTAGATCGGAACTTCGGAGCGGGTTCACGAATCTTTTGATTCAGATTAGAACTCGGAGCATGTATCGCGAATCTTTTGATTCAGGTTAGAACTCGGAGCATGTATCGCGAATCTTTTGATTCAGGTTGGAACTTCAGAGCACATATCGTGTATCATTTGATTCAGATCAGCACTTCGGAGTGCTTTTTTTTTTTATTTATATAAAAACAAAAAAGGATGAATACAAAGATAACCGTTTTCATTACTTTTGGATTAATGGAACATTGGATAGTTTATAGGTCAACTCTGAATAAAGAAAAGAAAGGTTTAGAGCCAGTAAACTTTTATGAATGTGAAATTTAGCTAACAGGAAACATAAATTAATTATGTAAAATTTTCCCATATTCTATTTGGAATAGTCAAACAGTACAAAGAAAACATCTTTAAACATCTATCTATCTAATTGTGATATTGATATTTTTGTACATTTTGTGGCTTAATTTATTTTGGAGTTATTCGGTTTTTGGACAGACTAATTCATTTATGAAAGATTACATCACGCCCAGCTTTCAACTGTATTTTATGTCACGTCTTATCACAAGGGGTATGAATCTGTTACTTCTTTTAGCTAAATTTAGTATAATAAATATAATAACTGTAAATATGGGGGGAATAAGTCTTTGTTTTAAAGGCAGAAATTCACCAATACCTAAAAATGATATTAGAAAAAAAGAAAGCTGTAAAATATGTTAATTTGGAAATTGATTTATAACAATTTAATACTTCATATTATTTATTTATTTTCCTACTTAATTTTATTTGATTCTCTTAATGTAAAGCTGTATATATTTAAAAACCAATGAAAAAATAATATTTCTTTGAAAACGAAAGAACCTATTCATGGAAACGAACAAACTTGTCTAGTCGGATTGAATCCGTGTATCATTCGATCATTCGTTTTTTTATTTAATACTGAAAGTAGAAAAATGAGAAAACGGTTCCTTTTTCGTTCTTTTGTTTTTTTCCGAAAAACGAAAAACGAAAATTCAGCTTAAATTTTCGTTTTTCGTTCATGGGTGGAAAAATTAATAAACAGCTTGAATATTCGATTTCTACATGTGGGCGGGAATTAAACGCCCCTTTCTGCTGATTGGTCAGCCGAAGATCAAACCGTGCCATCATCAGTTCTTCTGCAGTATCACGCAGCAGAATAATAGTCTAAATCTAAAGAGCAGTAGTGACTGCAGACTTAATTCAAGATGAGCGATTCATTCATAAATTCTTAAGATCGCTGTAGAAACACAAACTGCAAGGCTAAAGACAATGAGTGCAGGGGCGGGGCTATATAAGGTCTAAATAGCCGGGCACAGAAGCTGCAGCAGCAGCAAAAATTGTTGGCTGGGTGCAGCAGCAGTAGCACACATTTCACATTTTTTGGTAAAATAATTAAAACAACCACCACAGTTAAAACTCAGTGAATGTAGCTGTTCATGAATTTTTGATCTGGGACTTAACTACATCTATCAACATGTCTCAATCAAAACTGTACAGCCAGAAATACAGAAAAGAGTGGGAGTCTGTACCTGAATTTAAAGGGTGGCTGAAGCCAGTAGTTGGGGATGACTGCCGAGCATACTGTGCATACTGCAAATCAGATATGCTTGCAAAAATGTATGACATCAAAAAACATTGTACTACAGCAAAGCATATAAATAAATCAATAATTTATTATTTTTGAAAAATGTTTTCATAATTTGTTGTTAAATGTGAGGTTACATCTAATTTTATAGGTTATGTCTAATCTGGGAAAATAAATTTTATTTATTTATTTTTAAAGGTTTTCATTGTTTATTTCATTTTTAGATGGAAAGGAGTCCAAATATCTCATGGGTCTTCCACTTCAGAGTTCTCTGTGAGTAATTTATCACTGGATTTGCTTCAGCCTGTGTTCTTCAGCACCAAATTTATCTCTTACTTCCCTTTTATATATGAAACTACTTTGCGAACTCATTTTTCGGACATGCAAATTTTTGAGCTGCACCTGTATCTTGAATTTAATGGCATTTGACATTAGACTGCCTTATTTGCACTCATCGTTGTGGTTATTGCATCACTAATGTTCTTGTCTCTCTGCTGCAGCTCTGATGGTGTTGCTGGGAGTGTTGGACTTTCTGTTTGTCAATCATGCGTGTCACAGCATTATAACAAGAGGAGCTTCAGTGCAGCTGGTTTTTGGATTTGAGGTGAGCAACATTTTTTTTAGTTTGAGTGAGATCCTGCAAAATACATTTCATTAATGAAAGGACTGTTGACCTAAACCTTATCACATGTCCCATAACTTGTTGAAGTACATTATGTCATCTGTGGTGTTAGCAGTTGAGCAGTGTAGAAATCAGAACATATATTATACCACTAGAGTTTTTAAAATATTAATGGCTTTCTGCTTGTCTTTCAGTATGCAATTCTGATGACTGTGGTCCTCACCACCTTCATCAAGTACACCTTACATACAGTTGATCTGCAGAGTGAGAATCCGTGGGACAATAAGGCCGTCTACATGCTCTACACAGAGCTCTTTACAGGTACATCCTAGAGAGCCATAGCTTGGATGGTTATGTTTCCATATTGCCTATTCACAGATTGACTGATGTTACATTTATCCTTCAGGTTTCATCAAGGTGCTTTTGTATATGGCGTTCATGACCATAATGATAAAAGTGCACACCTTCCCTCTGTTTGCCATTCGACCCATGTATCTCGCAATGCGGTGAGTGATAAATCATCAGATTCCAGCTGTGCTGTTATGTTTTGTCAACAATTAGAACAGTTTGTCTTATTCTTTTGTCGTGTGCAATATGTTTGTCTTTTCAGGCAATTCAAGAAAGCAGTAACAGACGCCATCATGTCTCGACGAGCCATTCGTAATATGAATACTCTGTGAGTATCTCTCTGAAGTCATTATAAATATCTTTTACGTGTTTTTAATTTTTTTTTCATTAATATACAGTAGTCAACATTTGAAGTGGATCAAAAAAGTTAATCAAAGTTGTCCTAAGACAAGAACACATTTTGTTTTAGGTTTTAGGACAACTTTGATGAAAGGTTTTGATCCACTTCAAGTGTTGACTAGTGTAGTGCAGTTTAATATGTTTACTATTTTTTTATTAGTAATTTTTTTTAGTTTTTAGTTGCATTTCTTTATTTTATTGTGCACTTAATGCTTTTAGTATTGCCATGTTTAATATTTTCAGTATTTAATAATTTGTTTTTACAGTTTAAAATGTAAAAAATATATACTCTGTATCTCTGAAATAATCTGAATTATAAAACGGATTGTTCCGGTCCTTGATTCTGATTGGCTGAGCCACGTTCAAAGCTGTTGTAAATTACTCTACAAACATACACCTTTGTTTACTTGTGTGTTGCTCGGCAACCACTTTGTTGGAACCACAACTGTTTCTTAGGAACTACATTGTTTGGTGGAAGAATACTGTTTTTATTAATATCATTACACTTTATTTGCTCTGTTTTATTCTGTGAAACCTTACTACGTATATGGAATAACAATTTAGCTGTTATAAATTCACTGTAAACCACGGCTTCTTGGAGCTTATTGCTTTAACATCTTTTAATGTGCAAGTGTTATAGTTTTGAATTATTTTATAACTTTTTTTTATTAACAATGCAGTGTAATATTTTTAGTATTCATTTCTTTATTTGTATTTTTTTTTCAGTTTACATTTGTTTAGAAAAATTGTGGTTACACTTTATTTAAAGGTGTCCTTGTTGCAGTGTAATTATATATTTAAGTACTACTGAGTAATAATAATTAACTACATGTACTTACTATATGATTAGGGTTTGGCTTAGGGTTACTTGCGTGTAATTTTGCATAATTGTATTTATAATAGCAAGCACATGTAACGTTTAACAAGGACACCTTAAAATAAAGTGTTACCAAAATTGTATTCGTTTATTTTATTGTGCATTTTAATTATTCTTAATATTGGGCCATGTTTAATATTTGTAGTCTTCATTTTCTTTTCTTTTTTAAATTTTTAATTATTTTATAGAAGAATTGTATTTTTTTTTTTTTTTTTTTTTTATATTTTTTTTATTTTTATGTAGAAAAAAACAAAATTCAGGGCTTGGATCTTGAACAATGTCACCAGCTGCTGGTTCGAAGCTGTTGTAAATTACTCTACAAACATACACCTTTGTTTACTTGTGTGTTGCTCGGCAACCACTTTGTTGGAACCACAACTGTTTCTTAGGAACTACATTGTTTGGTGGAAGAATACTGTTTTTATTAATATCATTACACTTTATTTGCTCTGTTTTATTCTGTGAAACCTTACTACGTATATGGAATAACAATTTAGCTGTTATAAATTCACTGTAAACCACGGCTTCTTGGAGCTTATTGCTTTAACATCTTTTAATGTGCAAGTGTTATAGTTTTGAATTATTTTATAACTTTTTTTTATTAACAATGCAGTGTAATATTTTTAGTATTCATTTCTTTATTTGTATTTTTTTTTCAGTTTACATTTGTTTAGAAAAATTGTGGTTACACTTTATTTAAAGGTGTCCTTGTTGCAGTGTAATTATATATTTAAGTACTACTGAGTAATAATAATTAACTACATGTACTTACTATATGATTAGGGTTTGGCTTAGGGTTACTTGCGTGTAATTTTGCATAATTGTATTTATAATAGCAAGCACATGTAACGTTTAACAAGGACACCTTAAAATAAAGTGTTACCAAAATTGTATTCGTTTATTTTATTGTGCATTTTAATTATTCTTAATATTGGGCCATGTTTAATATTTGTAGTCTTCATTTTCTTTTCTTTTTTAAATTTTTAATTATTTTATAGAATAATTGTATTTATTTATTTTTTTTTTTTTTTACAGTTTAATTATTCTTACAACGTTTTTATCTATTACTATTGTATATTTAGTGTTTTTTTTTATGTTGTGCAGTGTTTTTAATATGTTATGTATATGTTAATAGTTTTAGTAATACTTTAAAATTATGTATCACTGTCTGCCGTGCTTTGTTACAGCTATCCAGATGCCACCCCTGAAGACTTGCAAGCCACCGACAATGTGTGCATCATTTGCAGAGAAGAGATGGTGACTGGAGCCAAGAAACTGCCGTGCAACCACATCTTTCACTCAAGGTTCACTTCCACTGTTTATGGAAAATATCAGTCTCTTTGGTGTTGACATCTGCATGCATATTCTGAATAGTTTGTTCCTCTCATTGTAGTTGCCTTCGCTCATGGTTCCAAAGACAGCAGACGTGTCCGACCTGTCGTATGGATGTCCTCCGAGCGTCCCAGCCCAACCAGACTCCTGCCCCAGCTCCTGCACAAGCACCTGCCCCTGCTGCTCCTGCTAATGCCCCCGTACCTCCACCTGTCAATGGTAAAAACACCAAGACCAGGCCGATCGAAGCTGCTGATGTTTGGCTGTTTGTGCACCGTAAACCATGCTTCCTTTTCTGTGCAGTCGCTCCAGGTATGCTGCCTCAGTTTCCTCCAGGTCTGTTTCCCTTTTGGGGTCCCTTCCCAGGCGCGCCTCCTCCTGCTGCCCCAGGTGCACAGGCAGCTACTGACGCTCCACAGACCAGCGCCGCTGCAACACAGGCCCAGGGAGCAGGTCAGCAGCTCTTATCTGTTCTGCCTCACTGTGAAAAGCTAGAATACCCATGATTCTCATCATAATTTTCACGTTGTGTCATGTAGAATCAGGAGCCAGCAGCTCGACCCAGCCGAATGCAGACAGTGCCTCTGCTGCTCCCGGAGCAATGCCTGGATTCCCCTTCTCCATGCCTCCACCTTTCCCATCAGCTCCATGGCTGCCGATGCCTCCACCTCCACCCTTTAGTATGTTAGAGCGGTCAAATTGCGGCATTTTAATAATTAGTGCTGTCAAGCGATTAATCGCATCCAAAATAAAAGTTCTTGTTTACATAATGTATGTGTGTGTGCTGTGTATATTGTATATATAAATACACACACATGCATGTATATATTTCAGAAAAATGTTATGTTTATATATTAAATATATTTATTTATAATATAAATTATATTAATATAAATATAGACATGTAAATACATGTAAATATTTTCCAAATATATGCTGTTTGTGTGTGTCTTTATATATACATAATAAATATACACAACACACACACATATGTTATGTAAACAAAAACTTTTATTTTGGATGCGATTAATCGCGATTAATCGTTTATACATCATTGAAAAACTGATATATTTGAGTAATCTGTGACCCCTTTGTTTATTAGTATCATCCATGCCGCCGCCTCCATCGACTCTGTCCACCATGTCAGAGGCCGAGCTCAGAGAACTGGAGCAGGAGGGCAGGCGAGGTTTGGAAGCCAGGTTGCAGTGCCTTCACAACATCCACACATTGCTGGATGCCGCCATGCTCAACATTCACCACTACCTCAGCACGGTGGCTACGTTAAGGTGTGCAAACATGGCCTGAGGTGTGATTAAAAAGTGGCACGTCCAGTTCCTACTTCTGAAATCCCCGTATTTTCTTTCTTTCTTTTACTTCCTGTTTAGTCCTCCAAGATCAGAAAACAATGCTGGTGAGACGAGTACATCAGTGAATGCGGAGTCCTCTTCCTCCACGGGCAACATGGAAACTCCCAGTCAGGAGAACGAGGCTCAGAGCGGTGAGTAGAATGATGCCACAACTTCTTGAATGACTAGGCTAATATGTGTGTGAGTGTGTGTTTGTGTCTTTAGTGTCACATGATTGTTCTGAAATCATTGTAATATGCAGATTTGCTGTTTAAGAAACATTTCTTACAAAACATTTTCTTATAAATGTTGAAAATAGTTGTGCTGCTTAATATTTTTTATAGAAACCATGATACATTATCATTCAAAAGAAAGAAGAAAAAATATATATATCAGAGTCATTGTATTCTCTTGCTCATAGATGGATCTGTAAATGAAGCTACAGGCTTTTCTCTACCAGACTCAACCACAGGAGTGGACAAAGACAGGAAGGAGGGAGATGAAGATGAGGATGATGGTGAGCCAAATGCCGCCGAGTTGAGACGACGTCGCCTGCGTAAACTGGAGACCACTAACACTCCTGACCACTGATGATGGGATCCATTTAAATCGTGAATTGCCTTCTGACAGTAGAAATGCTTCTTACGGACTCTTGGGCACTTGGCATGTTGAGATGTCAGATTATCTGAGGAAAGTTCATGAGTTCTTAGATGTTAATTTAAATGAGGCACATCAAGGCACTTCCCGCTGTATGGAGGATTTGTCAGTGTAACGTGTACGGAAGATATCATGGAAAACCAAGCTTGAAGATAGAAAGGATAAAAAGCCTTGCACCTTAAAAGTCCGCTGTGACGTCTGACTCGAGTATTGTTGAGACTTTCCTCTCTGAATGTGATTTTTGTCTCTCAGAGGAACACAGTCTGTTGATTTCTTGTGTGCCCTTAAAATTTGATGTTTTCCCATTCTTTGTGTATTTTCATTATTTCTAGTGCTACATCATAGATTATTTTCCTAGATCGACTTTGGTTACAGCTAAAAGATATCCATGAACCAAATATCTAAATTAACTTGCTGTACATAATGTATAAAGTGTTTTAATAGGAGGATCTGTACATACTGCACAATAAATTGTTCAAAACAGACATTGTCTTGAGATTTATCAACTATACACAACCGTTCAAAATTTTGGGGTCAGTATGTTTTTAATTTTTTTATAATACATTTATTTAGCAAGGACTCCGTTAAGTTAATTAAAAGATATGAATAATGTTACAAAAGATTTCTATTTCAAATAAATGCTATTCGTTTGAATCCTGAACAAAAATATCAGTTTCCACAAAAGAATTCAGCACAACTGTTGTCATGTGGATCATGTGACACTGAAGACTGGAGTAATGATACTGAAAATTCAGCTTTGATCATGGGAATAAATTAGAAATGGAAAACAATTATTCAAAATTGCAATAATATTTCACAATATTTTTACTCAATTTTTAAAAAAAAATAAATGCATCCTTGGTGAGCATAAGAGACTTGTTTTAAAAGATTTAAACATCATACCCACCCTAAACTGTGAAGTAAAAATATAAATGTACTAATAATGAACATTAACCTAAAAAAAAAAATTTTTTTAATTGGATTAGATTTTTATTTGTGACCACATGGTGAAATGGGTTTTTCTTTTATTTTCTTTACAGCAAAATGCATTTTCACAAATATTAAGTTTCTAAGTTCTGATTTTTTATTTTGTTTTGTATTATCCGAAATCCTGATGAGACAAATTCTGAATGCGCCACATATATATAAACGGCAAATTACAAATGAAACTGTTTAAATTAGTTTTTTTATTAAAATACATTGTCAAAATATCAGCACACGGTTAGTACCAAAATTATTGCTTTCTTATGCACCATTTAAAAATGGAAGGTCATCATCCCACACAAAATAATAAAAAATATGTGTTAATACATTTCAAGGATACCCTTATAAATTAAGAAAAGACAAATGTGGTAATAACTCCTCCTTCACTCCTTATAGAAAAATCTTTAACTGGTCCCTTTTTAATCACAAGCATCTAGTCTATTGTGGTCTGCTTTAAAAAGTCAAGGTGCAACTTCAGAAGTACAGATGCTTCTGATGAGTATTAGTGCAAATGAACCTATTGAGCTACTCAACAGGAAGAGGTGATGCTGTGCTATCGCCTGAGAAGGTCACAGAAGATCTCTGCAGCTTTGCATAGTGGTCAGGTCTGTGGAGTGGAGTAAAGAGAGTGGTGCTGGTTGCTCTGCTGAGTCCGGTTGAAGAGGAGTGGAGTCGTCTCACTGGATCCAAACCAGCTGTTGGTGCAGAGTTTTGGTTTGGCATCACCATATCATAACTGATCCCACAAGCTGTTTTAATGTTAAAGGGGTCCTATTATGCTCTTTTACAAAGTCTTGATTTTGTTTTGGGGTGTACTAGAACAGGCTCTCATACTAGGTTGCTCGAAAAACATTATTTTTCACATATTTTACATTATTACAACACCTCTGAGCTGTGATAAAGCCTGATACCTGCTATGAGGATTGATACTGTGACTCCAGAGAGAACCCGTGTCGCCATCCATTCCACGAGGGTCGTCAAAGAAATATGAGCGTGAGCCTCGTGTGTTGCACATCGCTGGGCTGCAGTTCTGAAATAAACAAAGCAAACAGCTCAATGATGGAACACTCATTTTTGGGCATATACATTATACATTTGGCAGATGCAAAACTAAATTGTTTCTTTCCATCATCTTAAGCATTTGTTTGTCATTGACCTAAACGCAAAAATGTACACTACCGTTCAAAAGTCTTTTTTTTTTTTTTTAAAGATGTTTCTTATGCTCACCATGGCTACATTTATTTGATCACAAATACAGTAAAATATTGTGAAATATTACAATTTAAAAACTTTTATATTTAAATATATATATATTTTAAAATGTAATTTAATCCTGATGTAAAGCTGGATTTTCAGCATCATTACTCCAGTCTTCAGCGTCACATGATCCTTCAGAAATCATTCTAATATGCTGATCTGCTGCTCAAGAAACATTTATTATTATTAATGTTGAAAACAATATTGTTGCTTAATATTTTTGTGGAAACCTTAATACATTTCTTTCAGGATTATTTTATGAATAGAAAGTTCAAAAGAATAGCATTTATTTAAAATATTATTTTTTGTAACTATATAAATGCCTTTACTGTCACTTTTAATCAATTTAATGCATTATTGATAAAAAAATAATAATTTCTTAAAAAACTGACCCAAAACATTTGAACGGTAGTGTATTAATAAACTAAAATCACATGCAATAGGCATGGAAAAATGCATAATCAGCAAACCTTTTCTTGAGGAGGCTGGCGAACTCTGAAGATGAGAATGAGCAGGCTGGTAGGAAGCAGCTCCCAAATGAAGAGAACAGCTCCGAAGATAATGTAGCCTCTGTCTCCAAGCTCACTCTGAAGGTCAGCCTTTGAAAACAACACTGAACATCACAAACCGACCAGTGACAGGAACACCTTTCCATTAGCAACCAATGTAGTGCAACTGCCCACCTGATCAGAGATGTTGTACCAGTCATAGTCGAAGGCCTCCACTTTATGATTCTGAGACAAAAACAGCACAGCAAGATTGTAGCATGCCCTGCTAGAGAAGAGCAAGATGACACCTGCCCCCAGCACCGCAGTCCGACAAAACCCCTGCAAGCAGAAGACGTCATAAATAGCTGCAAATAACCTTTTTGGTCCCAAAGTTTGTCTTTGTAAAATTCAAATCCCATAATATTCCCAGTGTCCCAGTGAAAAAGTCTTTTTATAAAACGGATTGTTCCAGTTCTTGATTCTGATTGGCTGAGCCACGGTCGAAGCTGTTGTAAATTACTCTACAAACATACAGCTTTGTTTACGTTTGTCTGTTGCTTGGCAACCACTTTGTTGCAACCACAACTGATTCTGAGGAACTACATTGTTTGGTGGAAGAATACTGTTTTTATTAAAGGGGTCATATGATGCTTTTTTAAAGATCATTATTTTGTGTATTTGGTGTAACAGAATATGTTGACATGCTTTAATGTTCAAAAAACACATTCTTTTTCAAATACTGTACATTATTGTAGGTCCTCTATGCCCCGCCTCTCTCAAACGCTTCGTTTTCTACAAAGTCCCTCCTTCCGACAAGCACAGTCTGCTCTGATTGGCCAGCTGACCCAGTGCACTATTGCTTTAAGCACTTGCAAAGTATGTACCTTACTGCGTAGATAAGGGGTGGTAGGAGGCGAGGATCGAGTTAAGAGGAGCAGAGACGTGGCCAGACACACAGCTTCCAAAATGAACAGTAGGTCATTAACCAGCACTCGAACCAGAACCAGCCTCCAAGTGTCTTCACCAGCTCCACCGGAGGCGCCATGCTGTCCGAGGCTTGCGCATACTATATTGACACACAGGAAGATGACGCTCATGGTGGCATACACCCACCGAGCCGCCCATCTAGAAATCAAAGTTTACACACAAACACAATTCTCATTAAACACACAATCAGATGTTATCCATTAACATGCTAATGTGGAAATCCACTCACAGTCCTTTCCTGGGCTTAACGCTGAACACGCTTCGAACTTTGAGCAACTCCTGTCAAAATGAAACATTGTTATTAGGGAGTGGATTGATTTCTCAACTACGCAAACATACTCTTATGAATCTTTCTTTATAACTTGTCTTACCTGAGTGAAGTAAATGTTGAAGAGACTCAGAGTGAAGAACTGTAAGCACACTGGGAAGCAGTAAAGGAGCCAGTAGACTGGAGTGGGCAGATGGTTGGCCGCAAGGGCATTACGAAAATAAAAGGAGAAGAGCGTTGTGCGAAGCGCTGCCCAGAACAGGCAAAGAAAAAGAAAAATACTCTGGTAACTCCATCGCTTATGCCGGTAGAGTAACAGCAGCCAAAGCTGAACATACACGACTAAAAACAGACCCCCATAAAGACAAGTGTAAAGAACCGTGACACCCAGCTCTACTGAAGGGGCCACGGCTGGTTTCATGGGGGAAGGTGGAACTGGAGCTTGCATTATGATGATGGATGTAAAAAAATAATTAAAATAATATAATACAATGCATAGATCAAAGCTTTAAAATAAAATAAAACAAAACTGGTGCAAAATGTCAAGATTAATCATTAACAAAAAGGAAAAACAAATTTCAGGCATGTTCAGGCAAGCGTGGATTATCATTAGTCTAATTTTCTATACAATATTCTGTCACATATGATGAAGCCAGGATCAAACTACGCGACGAAGAAAGAAAAACAAAAGTCTGAAATGTCATTTCTCGGAACTCCTCGTATCAATCAACCTGTGATGTGCACCTGCAAAATAAAAATGAAAGTATTTAATGGAGCTAAAGTAAACACAGCCAAGCTTTACACAACAACAACTCAAAACATTCATACTGATAAAGAACACAATCGTCCTAATCGAAAACAAAAGCATATTTTGTCTGAAACCAGTCATTAATTGTAACTGTAACTGATTAAGAGTTTTGACAGCCAGACTTTGTTTATTCGTTACACCTGTTGTTCTTCATCTACCGGATAGATTGTACCGCACAAATTATAATACTTTTAAACTGTTTAACTAATTCTAACAGTCAAACATTTGTATTAAACTGACTTTAGACTGATCTAAAGTAGTAGCTAGCTGAGTGGCTAACGTTGCTAGATTGAGTTTAAAATCGATTTGCTAGTTCGCAGGTCGGACCGGTTTTGATATAAATATGCGACACACATTTTTAAAAACTGCTTTAAATACTACTAAATTAAATCCAGCATTACCTTACAAATGACTAAGACCGTGTAATCGACGTAACAAATCCGATAAATCCTTTCCTTCATCACTTCTTCTTCTTCTTCTTCTTCTTGGTTTAAGAGGAAAAACTAATTTCAGGCATGTTCAGGCAAGCGTGGATTATCATTAGTCTAATTTTCTATACAATATTCTGTCACATATGGTGAAGCCAGGATCAAACTACGCGACGAAGAAAGAAAAACAAAAGTCTGAAATGTTATTTCTCGGAACTCCTCGTATCAATCAACCTGTGATGTGCACCTGCAAAATAAAAATGAAAGTATTTAATGGAGCTAAAGTAAACACAGCCAAGCTTTACACAACAACAACTCAAAACATTCATACTGATAAAGAACACAATCGTCCTAATCGAAAACAAAAGCATATTTTGTCTGAAACCAGTCATTAATTGTAACTGTAACTGATTAAGAGTTTTGACAGCCAGACTTTGTTTATTCGTTACACCTGTTGTTCTTCATCTACCGGATAGATTGTACCGCACAAATTATAATACTTTTAAACTGTTTAACTAATTCTAACAGTCAAACATTTGTATTAAACTGACTTTAGACTGATCTAAAGTAGTAGCTAGCTGAGTGGCTAACGTTGCTAGATTGAGTTTAAAATCGATTTGCTAGTTCGCAGGTCGGACCGGTTTTGATATAAATATGCGACACACATTTTTAAAAACTGCTTTAAATACTACTAAATTAAATCCAGCATTACCTTACAAATGACTAAGACCGTGTAATCGACGTAACAAATCCGATAAATCCTTTCCTTCATCACTTCTTCTTCTTCTTCTTCTTCTTGGTTTTTAACTGCGGCTGGCACCAACGCAAATAGGTGCATTACCGCCACCTTCTGCTCCGGAGTGTGCAACAGAGTTTTAAATTCTATTAAACTGTAAAGGAATCTACCATTTTCCCCATTGTTCCACTTAACTTGCCATTCTTTCATCACTTTACTCCATATTAAAACCTTAATCTCTGATTTACTTAATGGAACTTGTATCTCTATCGTTTCTCTCTGTAAAGCTTGCTTTGCTAATTTATCCACTTCTTCATTTCCCCTTATTCCTATGTGTGCTGGGACCCATATAAAACTGATTTCCTTCATCACTTTAGTCCCGTTCGTGTTTATATGTGCTGCGTTATCAACCCAACTCATCGCTGTTGGCGACATCTAGCGGTGCATGCTGGTAAAGAAAAACGTAAACAAAGGCGTCTTCCTCCTCCTGCGAGACCACGCCCACCACACGCGTCCTAACTTCCTAACTACAATTTTAGAAGTACAGAAGACTTTTAAAAATTACAATGTTTTGAAATAAGTAGAAAGAGGAACAGAGAGAGTTTCGCCATCTCGAAAACCGATAGCTTTCTCTAGTGGGCGGGATTTGTGGGCGTGGTTTGTTGTCTGCCTGGGCGTGGTTTACAGTGCATCGGGCGTGGTTTGGAGTCTTGCTGGAAGCAGACCTATCATGAAAAAAAACGCCCATTGCTTTACCGCGCTGACTGTACTGAGAACAGGAAACGGCGGTTAGTTCAATTTTACACCATCAATAACCGTCCCGTCAGCTGTAATTTCTATCTGTCATCATCATTTATACCTATATTTCATTACACGAACTGACGAAGAAGCGCAAATCAACATTCTGGTTCAAATAACAAAATTATAGGTTACACATGTACTCCACTGTAACAGATGAGCTCATAATTTCATAACTTTATTTGTTGTTTTGCAGCAGTACGTACATATTGACAGGCTGTGAGTCAGAGGTGGTTTGTAATGTAACTCATAGCGTGTTAGTAGGCGAGGTTCTTCCTCACATTTTCCTCTCTCTCTCTCTCTCTCTCTCTCTCTCGCTCTCTCTTTTTCTTCATTATACCGCACTGTGCTGTAGTTCTGCAGCCACGTCGCAGACAGAGACAGCATCGCTCTTACAAACCTCATTGTCTTCAACTGCAGCCGCCCAAACTGGACCGACAGCAACTTTATCTCCTCGTACAGTTCGTGTTTACACACTTTTATTTTAAAAATAGTTACTCGTTACGGATAAATTGAGAGTAGTTCTCCGCTGTAGTCATGGTGAGTATAGCCTGCTTGCTAACTTATGTCTCAAACTTGCTGGCTTAGTGTTTAAAAAAGGTTACAAGAGTTTTCTTTAGCGTTTAAGCATTGCAGTTTGTTGTACGCAGTCTCTCCTGACTTATCTGATGATATGTTAGGCAAACGTTTGTTCCAGTAATTGCTACTTATTTACTCGCTAACCAGTCTAACATTAAGAGAAAAAGGGAAATACAGATAATTATGCAGTATCTATCTATCTATCTATCTATCTATCTATCTATCTACAGTCTTTGCCCTTTTGATACAATATAATTGATAATAACATACATGTATTTGTACCAAAATATAGGCCTAGTGTGTATACAAACAACAAATTACATTTACACATACACCAATACAATATATATATATATATATATATAT